GCTGGCTTATCCAAACCCATACTACCCTCTGTATCTTATTTTCCTTATTGTACCAAGAAACTGATAAATCTTTTAGTGACCGTTAGTTTTCTTATGTAACGCTTTGATGATACATTTAGGTTGATATGATTGTTGTTACCGATGGAAGCCGGATTTTGGGTCTTGGAGATCTAGGGATTCATGGAATTGGAATTTCTGTAGGGAAGCTTGATTTATATGTCGCCGCAGCTGGAATAAATCCTCAACGGGTACTTGAAGCATCCTCTATTTTCTTTCTTTTTCTGCCTCCCCACTTTTTTCAGTGATGACGTGATACAATACTTGTTGGAACATGCTTGTTAGGTACTTCCTGTCATGATTGATGTTGGAACAAACAATGAAAAACTACTCAAGAACCCCTTGTGTAAGATTAATTTGCACCTCTTACCTCTATTAAAGTCAATTATTAGATGACTATGATAGGATAATGACGCTTTTCTTCTTTCCACATATGATATTTGTATGCTGATGTTTGACGTTTTAGTATGGTGAAGCATATTGATTTTATATCTCTTTACATAAGAAGGTAGCGAACGAGAATTTTATATTAGTGTATGCATACATATATATTAAAATGTTGAAGGCTTGTAGTATTGTGTAGGAGTCTGTTATATTTCTTTTCTCTTTGATGGTTTATGGATTTCCAATAGTTAAGATAGGTACGAGAATAGTTATTATCTGTCATGTTATCTTTCTTTCTGTGTTTTTCTTTGTTGACAGACTTGGGTCTGCAGCAACATCGTTTAGAGAATGAGGAATATATAGAAGTAATCGATGAATTTATGGAGGCAGTGTTTACCCGCTGGCCACAAGTTATTGTGCAGGTAAATGATGCTTCATAGATCTCTGGTATATCAAATTTTTCTTATTATGAAACCTTTTTTTTTTTTTCTACCCACAGTTTGAGGATTTCCAGAGCAAGTGGGCTTTCAAATTACTGCAGAGGTACAGAAACAGCTATCGAATGTTTAATGATGATGTCCAGGTAATGAGTCTCCAACCTTAGTTTGATTCTTGTGAAGTTGAACTGCCATTATTTGTTTGTATAGTAAGACAAGGGGGCTTACTATGTTCGAAATAATGCTTACTATGTTCGAAATAATTTCTCGCTGCTATGTTCAAACTATCGTATGCATGTGACCAAACCAGCATCTTATATCATTCAGTAGTTAACTTTTTCTGTATGACCAGATGCCTTAAGGAGTCAATAGGAAGGGAACTGAAAATATAAACAGTGATACGAAATCTTGGTTTTCAGTTAATAAATCATTACATTTCATGATTCGGCTTAGGGGACAGCAGGGGTTGCGATAGCTGGTCTTCTTGGAGCAGTTAGAGCACAGGGGCGGCCGATGCTTGATTTTCCAAAGATGAAGATAGTTGTTGCTGGCGCTGGAAGGTAAGATTTTTATAGGTAGAAAATGGTGCTGGACGTATTGTTTAACTGATGGAAACTTTCAGTTGAATCACCGCATTAGTCTAAGTTGATGTGATGGATAACAATGGTTATATCAGAAAACTGAGCTTCCTTATTAAAATCTTTGAATTGTTAGCGCGGGAATTGGTGTTTTAAATGCTGCAAGAAAGACAATGGCACGGATGTTGGGAAATACTGAAACTGCGTTTGATAGTGCACAAAGTCAATTTTGGGTGGTTGATGCTCAGGTATGTTATTCCATTATAGCGTAGATGTTTTCAGAATAGGGAGCTCATAAGAGGTTTTCCCTGGTTTTCTTTTACTAGCCAAATCACTTCATCATATGGTTTGTTTTTTGTGCAATAGCTTGAGGATCTTAATTTGTTTACTCTTTTGTTGCCCTTAACTCAGGGTCTTATTACCGAAGGACGAGAAGATATTGACCCAGAGGCTCTGCCATTTGCTAGAAAGACTAAAGAAATGGATCGTCAAGGTCTAAAAGAAGGCGCATCTCTTGTTGAAGTGGTTTGTGATTCTTTTTTATCCAAATACTAAATTTAATTTGGCAGTGAATTTGGTGGTTGATAGAAATTCAACCTCACAGAAATTCCTGCTTAATACTGCCAAGAAACTAACAGTTTTATGTTTCATCTGGCTAGGTTCGAGAAGTTAAACCTGATGTGCTGCTGGGTTTATCTGCAGTTGGAGGGTTATTCTCCAAAGAGGTAAACAAAGTTGCCAAAAGCCTAAAAATACAGGAAAATGTATAAATCTAGTGCTTTGCTACAGAATCGGTGATCTAAGCTATGTGGTTTATTATGATAATTTCTTCAGTGACCATCGTCTTTCATTATCTAATTTCTATGGTAACTACTAGTTAGATGAGCTAGCAAATAAAATCTAGCATAGCACATAACTCTTAATAAGACTGTGGTTCCTCTTGCTTCCATGAGATTAACATATGGATGTGTTTAAGGTTTTAGAAGCCATGAAAGGTTCAACCTCGACCAGACCAGCTATTTTTGCAATGTCTAACCCCACAAAAAATGGTAATTTGTCCCCTTCGTTTGTCCTAAAATGTGATTTGCGGTTATTTGTAATTCTTTTTGGAACTGATGTATAGTAGTTACTTGTGCTTAAACTTACAGCTGAATGCACGGCTCAAGAGGCATTTTCTATATTAGGCGACAATATCATTTTTGCGAGTGGAAGCCCATTCAAGAATGTGGATCTTGGTATGTATGAGGACCACCACATTATTTGTTATAAGCATTTTTATATGAGAAGAAAATCCTAATTACTCTTCCAACTTCAGTTATGTTTTAAATTAACCGTTCTAGATACTTGATTACTCTAAGGCTTTTGTTTGATATATTAGTACCTCTTCTTGTGGCAGGGAATGGTAATGTAGGCCATTGCAACCAGGGAAACAACATGTACCTATTTCCCGGGTTAGTTCCGCTTATTTATCGTCAGAAATAATTGCATACTCCCTGTAAATTTATAACATTTATACTCCCTGGTCATGAAAAAAACATTTATATTCTTATCCTGTAAATTTTTATGTAGTATTGGACTTGGTATTCTTCTATCTGGTACTCCCATCGTCTCTGACGGGATGCTCCAGGCCGCAGCTGAGTGGTAAGCTCTTTTCTTTACCTACTGCATTTATCTTTCCTGAATTTTAATTTCATCTAGAGCTGAAGTGGGTGACATAATATATATAACTACGGACCAAACTCAACTAGTTTTAAATCAATCACATAGTTGGCTGATGTCACGGACTATAGATAATACATCCCTACCCACGTGCCAGCAACCACAGTAATTCAACATGTTCTCTCCAAATGGTAGTCCCGCAAAGTAGGCCTTCAATTGAGGTTTCATATACTAGGCGGTGTAAAACTCGGATTTAAGGAGACCATGAAATCAAACATGTCCCATGTTTTCTCGATATGGGATCATGACACTGTGATCTGCTACACGTTTGCAGCCTAGCAGCATACATGAGCGAGGAAGAAGTGCTAAAGGGGATTATATACCCTCCAATATCAAGGTAACACAATAGAAGAACATTCTGCGAGTTGCATAAGAAGGAAAGGTTCGATAGAGAAGTTATATTTGGTGTGGAATTGAAATTGCAGGATACGAGACATAACAAAAAGAATAGCGGCTGCGGTGATTAAGGAAGCGGTTGAGGAAGATTTGGCTGGTGGGTATAGGGAAATGGACGCTCGAGAACTCCAAAAACTTAATCCGGTAATCCAGATTCAGGAACAAAATAGTATTTGCCTGATTTCTCCCGTAGATAAAATAAAATAAAATAATTACTAGCTCCGTTTCATTTGTCATTCTATGACTTCGTTTTGTATTTTGAATGCTTTGATTTGTGTCTTCCGCAGGAGGAACTTATGGAGTATGTGGAAAACAACATGTGGAGTCCAGAATATCCGACTTTAGTCTACAAAGATGACTAAGTTTGATTCCAAAGATGAACAACTCTTGGTTTATCTTATTTATGTGTAAAAATTTATAATTGGGTTGCTTCATATCCAATCAGATTCATAGTAGCTGCTTTCACTTGTTTTTATGTAAAAAGAAAAAAAAATAGAAGTGGGTTGCTTCTGTGTCCAATCAGATTCATAGTTCCTTGCTGCTCTCTCCTATAATTTATATGTAAAATATTAATGTTGGGTTGCTTCATGGCAGCAACCCTTAAGGTTATACTTCTTACAATATAATCGCATGTCGTATTCCAAATGAATATAACATCTAATTTAGTGATAAGATACTATGAGTGAGGAACAATTTGAGGTCATCAATAATTGAAGCAATCATCTTTTATATGAGTAAACGAGTGAGGAACTGTATGCATGAATATGCTATTCTCTGCAACTTTTGTGGAACCTATAAGTATGAACATTTTGGTAGCTTTCAAACGGTAAGAGGTTAAGTATTCTAATCCAAAATATCCACTGGCAACAAAAGTTACTTTCTTCGTGAAATAAAGGTTCAAAATTGTAAGACTATCCAAGATGGAATTAAATTCTACTGTTGTACATCATCTGTTAAAAGTAGTATGTTTGATTGATAAATTCTTTGGTCCCAGCTTCGATTTGTTTATTAGGAGTTGGAACTAGCATATCCGATCGTGTTTGATAGATTGTATGAATTGGTAGCTTACTAATTAACAGATTTATTACAGAGTAATCACTAAATAGTAAATATATAGATCTGATGACCATTTTAACAATGATCTAAATAACCAAGAAAGTTATTTATAAATGCACTGACAAGTCAAGATAGCTATGTGTTATCTGACTTGCTACATAACTCGTGTAAGTGTAATTCAGTTTAATGTAAACCGATAATATATCAAGAAGTATTCTTGTTACACAAATCTCATAACATGGGTATACTGAAAATATCAAGATGTACGTATCTAATGTATCTATATAGCAACAATATAAGCATCAAGATGTACTCACAAGGGAAACAAAACATATAATATATAAAAACAAAAAGGAAAAATTCAAACAAGGTCTCACACTGACCACTGTCCAATGGAATCAATGTTTTCATGCTGCTGCGGGAACTGTTTCTGCAATGATTTAGGAGAGAAAGGTAGATTGGGAAAAGGTTGATGATCCGCTGGCAAGAATGGAGAAGGATGATGATGAGAGATGTAACTAGTACATGAAATGTTGCTGTTATGGTCTTGTTCTTGAAACTGAAAATGATTCTGTTGTAGCTGTTGTTGCGGTTGTTGTTGTTGTTGTCTTTGTTTTGGGCTATTGACTTTCTCTCCTTCGGTCTCTCGGTATTTGCAGAGATAAACCTTTAATGGAGCCACATAGTCTTCGAAACCGAGAGTTGTAATGGCCCAAATGATGTCATCTCCATTGATGGTTTTCCTCTTCTCTCTTTGACACTTATCAGAAGCTTCACCAGTTACAAAACTGATGAACTCCGATACACATTCTTGTACAGTTTCTTTCGCATCTTTCGAGATCTTACCGTTACCCGGAAGAACCTTTTTCATGATTCTTCCGACATTAGCAATTGGAAGGAACCGGTCTTGTTCTTTGTTGTTGTTGTTGTTATTGTTCTTTGAAGAAGGGCTTCCTGGGTTTGTTTCTGCTACACCAGGAGATTCATGATCTTCTTCTGGGCTTTCCTCAGTCATCTCTTGTTTTTGTTTCTGAGATGTAATGACATGTGATGGATCTGATTTTATGGTTAAGCTTAGTGCATGAAACTAGGCAACTTATCTATTTATGGATGCATGTCTAACCAAATTTGGAACTCCCTTGACTCGCTCTTCTTTTCTTCTACAGGTGGACATAAGGGTGTTAATGCGGGTATACCCGCTCTACTTAACCTATTATACATCGGGCTAAAATATTTTGCTAGTTTTGGTGAGCCGGTGTGCCAATCAATAGTTTAAATTTTTTAATGAAAAACGATCAATTTCCCCCTTAGAACTATCATATAGTAACAGATCTATCCAAATTTTCGACCTCGTCTTAAATCTTCTTAATTTGAAAGTTAAAAACGTATGTTCTCCCAAATCGAAAGTTCGAAACATATACAGTATCTATCATGAAATGATAAATCGAAATTAAAAACCACCTAGACCATAATTTAACTCGGTTTACTATTTATCAAAATTCGCTTAACCACTTAAAAACACAGAAATAAATCAGATTATAACCTAATTAATATTTAATTGTTCTTGAGAAAATAGGTAGTTTTCCCTTTTTTAATTATACCTACCCTAGTGCTCTGGTTTATGACTGTGGGTTTTGCGGTTTGACCTAAATACTCTTAGAGTTTTAATTTGTTTTGTTTAACTCGTTAAAATATATCATTTTATTTTCAAGTAAAATTTTGTACATAAACATATAATAAAATATATTAAAAATGATATTGACTGGTAAGTGATATATAAAAGTCATAAATATCTCTATATAATAGCCAAAATATTCCTCCTATTTGGCTATCAAACACATGCTTTATCCTTACACAATATAATGCAAATAAGATCAGATGTTAAAAAAAAAAAAAAAACCATGACATGTAACATGGTTTGTAAAGAGTTTTAAACTATAAAAGACAATTTTGCAGTGTGAACGGTTAACTAGTAGAAACCGATTCTAAACATAATAGTTCTCGTCTCTACCATTGTTTTTCCTCCAGCCAGTGCCACTTCTAGCACCGTTGTAATTCTTTTTTGGCTTTTGTTTGTCGATTAGGGTAGTCAAATAAATTTCTATTGGAGACGATGATATCCCTTTAATCGGTAGATAGATCTTGGATTTCAGTCGGGTTTTCTTTTCTTCTTTTGTGAGATCCCCGTCCATGTCTGATATGTTTATCTTATCTCATACTATTATTTGGGTTATTGTTTTTTTTATCCTATAATGTTAACACCTTGTTCAGTAAAAAATTGGCTTATGACAATTTCTTTGTAAGTAAAACCGCTTTTAGTTCTTTGCTTATCTTAGTGACAATTCGGTGAAACTGTGATGTGTCTCTTAGTAGAGTGTTTGTTTTCGATGAGTTCGGATTTCTGGCAGAAATTTCAATTATCAACCGACGATTGTCATCCTACCCCATGATATGGGGGTTTCACTTGGGTTTATCGTGAAATCACTCGAAAGATACCTTGCTTGAAGAAATTGAAGGAATAAGGCTTTGTACGAATCATACCAATAGAACAACAAAATCATATAGAAGCAGTGTTGGCTTAATGCAGTTCTGACTGTGGTTGCTAAATTTTACACTCAGAAATTTGTGTATAGTTTTTGGACTGGAGATTTATAACGATGGGCCAGATTTGTTTTGGAATAGTATAAAAATGTATTGAAGAAATTAGATTTGTATTAATTCAATCGAAGATGAATACCGGATTTCTCGAAGAGAATGAGTGCGAAAAGATAACTGTTTTCCTAGGGTTTTTTCGAAAGGAAAAGTTGTTGATTTCGTGTGACTCGAGCTCTTTGGATACTTCTTTTCGAGATTTGAACTGCCACTGCATATCTCAAGCCACTTCGTGTTGCACCATCTCTGTGATCTCTGCAACAACCCCGAGCTGTTAGTGTAATATCTTTGACTTTGACCATATATCTCGGAGTTTGGAGCTGGCCAGATCGCACATGCAAGGTGACATTTAACAGGTCCAGGAATAGCTTGATGGGCTGAATCCTGCATTTGGACCAATTATTAATCTGGCCCAATTCCAAATATTTATTTATAATTTAATTAAATTATATTTTTGCTAGGCTTCATAGACCGAGTCAGATGTGAGAAATCAAGCTCCCACGCTGACTATGCAAATGCACAAGATGCAACATTTTTAGTTAGTCTTTCTTTATATTTTAGGACCTTCAAATTTATATTTAGCAAACAAGATTTATTTTTTTTGCTATATTGCAAATATCATTATAAAATGAAGAATTATGCATACATGGTTACCTATACATTTTTGGTTCCTTGACAAAATATAAATATAAGATAAGGAAACAAAAGGTTAAGCTTTGAGAATGAAAGAAAAAACTCAGTGAAAACACTGCCATGAGCTTACTAAACTGTCTACGGTGCCGTCTAGCGTTGATTGTGTTGATAATCAGCCGGTCAATGTCCCTGAAGATGATGAGTGGCGGGATGGTGGTCTGGTTGTGCAGCAGATTGTTTCTCTGTTTCCAGATGCTATAGATGGTTGCCTGAACAACAAGCTTCTGACGAAGGGTAGGAATTTCATAAGAGCTCGAAGCAGCCCAAGCATTCAAATCAATCCAAGAAAGAAAGGAGGGAGGCTGAGAACAAAGTCTAGCCATAACCGACTGCCAAATAACCTTGCTAAAACTACAAAATAACAGGAGGTGGTCTCGAGTTTCAGGGTCAGCAGAGCATAGAAAACAAAGAGGATGGTGGTCTTGAGTTTCAGGGTCAGCAGAGCATAGACAACAAAGAGGAGACACCTGCATTCCCTATGAGAGGAGTCTCGATCTAGTGGGCAATCTATCAAACTGGAAAATCCACATATGGAAAGCATGCTTCAGAGTAAAACCTTTAAATCAAACCAAAGAGTTCCAAGCTTTAATCGAGTCTTGGGGCCTGAGGCAATCCCAGGTCTTCGAAGAAGAGTAGCCATTACACCCTACTCCCCCAACAAACCATTTGTAGGAGTCAGCCAGAGACGACAGTAGGGGCAGCTTAATGGTGGTAAGAAAGGTATGGAGTTCCAGAGCCTGATCAGATATTGGTGAGGCAATCAGCCATCTCGAGTGATCACAAGCATCAGATACTTTTGCGTGTAAAGGGATTCTCAAGCTTCTCAGTCCATCATCACCCAGAACATTAATGAGGGATCCAAGAGGGGTCCAAGAATCTCTCCAAAAACTTGCTGAAAGACCATTTCCAATCGAGCATCTGATGAATTTTGCTGCTATAAAGGACGAAGACGCAAAAGCGTTTTTCAATTCCAAGAGTCATTTTGAGCTTCTTCAAGACCCCAAAGTTCAGAACTAGCATGGCAGTGGTGGAGCTTATGCCATGCGACCCACAAGAAATCACTATTCGAGAAGAGAAGCCAGATGAAACGCAAGCATAAGACCGAGTTCCACACTTCAAATCTCTTTAATTCCAAACCACCTTTTTATTTGGTAAGCAACCCGCAGACCAAGCAACTTTTGCAACCCCATTCTTTTCAACGTTTCTTGACCACAACAACCGTGAGCCAAATTATTTAGTGAATCATAAATATTTAGTGAACCAACCACAAATACCACAAAACGAGGTTTAGTTTTCGAATTATAGATATTTAGTGAATAATTTGTTGAAGAAAATTAATTATAGCACAGAGCCCATAAATTCTTTGAATTGGTGTTAGTTTATCAACATTTCAGAACTGTTGCTAGAAATGTTGGGTTTTGTTTGTGCAAACTTGATTTTCAGCCAAGAGATACTATCTATGCTAGAAGGTGCATAAAATCAAGATGGAAATAAAGAAGGAAAATAAATAGATCTAATGATTTTATTACTGAGTAAGACTTGTTTATGAAAACCACTGTCAAATTCATTTCTTGTATTTTATATTTCTTAGTATGTGGCGCATATATTTGTATGTAAATTCTTTATTTTACGAATGTTCTATATTCTGTTTCTGTAGTCACGATTTAATAACATAATCTGACAGAAATTGATTAGACGTTACAAAAGGAACATTGGTTTGTTAATGCTATCGTTGTGTCCGCATATTGGTTCGTTGTCTGCGCAGGTTAACCGGTTGTAGAACCTTGTCCATAATGGACTAACCTGCTCCATAGGGGATGGTTTATGCCAGTTAACCGACTCAAATTTCAATCGGTTTATGTCCATCTGGTTTCTTATGCCATTGATAATGCCAAATCGGATCTTCAGTTCGGTCCGGTTAGCTCCGGTTCGATTCGGTACGGTTGAGCATATGATATAAAAAATTCGCCTTTGTTCTGAGAATTCTCTGTATACTCGAATCCCGCACATAAAGATGTGTAGCCTTGATTTCTCGAGGAATCCAAATTCATCTTCATTTTGAGAATTTCATTCAACAATAATGGAATGGCAAGAAAATCATTTCTCAAAATCGCTGGTGATCTCTCTTTCACGGATTCTTCTTCACCATTCTCAAAGCTTCTGGATTCATGCATCAAGTCCAAGTTGTCACCGAATGATGTCCGTAGTGTCCATGCTTCTATCATCAAATCCCCTTTCTTCAACGAAGTCTATATACAGAATCGTCTCATCGATGCCTATGCAAAATGTGGGTCACTCGAGGATGGACGCAAAGTGTTCGACAAAATGCCCGACCGAAATGTTTACACTTGGAACTCTCTTGTGACGGCTTTGGCCAAGTTAGGCCTTTTAGATGAAGCTGATTCTCTGTTTATGTCAATGCCTGAACGGGATCAGTGTACATGGAACTCGATGGTTTCGGGATTTGCACAGCATGATAGGTGTGAAGAGGCTTTGAATTATTTTGCTCTGATGCATAAAGAAGGCTTTGTGCTCAATGAATATACTTTCGCTAGTGGTCTCAGCGCTTGTTCGAGTTTAAACGACATGAATAGAGGCATACAGATACATTCTTTGGTTGCGAAATCGCCTCGTTTGTCAGATGTTCATATAGGTTCTGCTCTTGTTGATATGTATTCCAAATGCGGAAATGTAAATGATGCTCAGCAGGTTTTTGATGAGATGGGTGATCGAAATGTTGTAACTTGGAATAGTTTGATTACATGCTACGAGCAAAATGGTCCTGCAGCGGAAGCTCTCAAGGTTTTCCATGTGATGTTAAGAGCTAGTGTTGAGCCAGATGAGATTACACTAGCAAGTGTGATTAGTGCATGTGCGAGCTTGTCGGATATTAAAGCTGGTCAAGAGGTTCACGGCCGTGTTGCTAAAAACGATAAGTTAAGGAACGACATAATTCTAAGCAATGCTTTTGTGGATATGTATGCAAAGTGCGGCATGATAAAAGAAGCCAGGTTCATATTTGATAGCATGCCTATCAGAAATGTAATCGCAGAAACCTCAATGATCAGTGGGTACGCGATGGCTGCAAGCACTAAGGCGGCTAGACTAATGTTCACCAAGATGACGGAGAGGAATATTGTTTCATGGAATGCACTTATCTCTGGCTATACGCAAAACGGGGAAAACGAAGAAGCACTTAGTCTCTTTTGTCTCTTAAAGAGGGAATCAGTATGCCCAACCCACTATACCTTTGCAAATATCCTCAAGGCATGTGCAGATCTCGCAGAGTTACATCTTGGGATGCAGGCTCACGTGCATGTGTTGAAGCATGGGTTTAAGTTTCAATCTGGTGAGGAAGCTGATATATTTGTTGGCAATTCATTGATAGATATGTATGTAAAATGTGGCTGTGTAGAAGAGGGTTATCTTGTATTTAGGAAGATGATGGAAAGAGATTGCGTCTCCTGGAACGCGATGATTATTGGATTTGCACAAAATGGTTATGGAAATGAGGCTCTTGAGTTGTTCAGAAAAATGCTTGATTCTGGAGAACAACCAGATCACATTACCATGATTGGTGTTCTTTCTGCGTGCGGACATGCTGGATTAGTAGACGAAGGGAAGCATTACTTTTCTTCCATGACCAGAGATTTTGGTGTGACTCTTCTCAGGGATCACTATACCTGCATGGTTGATTTGCTTGGTAGAGCTGGTCTTCTCGACGAAGCAAAGAGCATGATTGAGGAGATGCCAATGCAACCAGATTCTGTTATATGGGGTTCTTTGCTTGCTGCTTGTAAAGTTCATAAAAACATAACGTTAGGTATATACGCTGCAGAGAAACTTCTAGAAGTAGAGGCATCAAATTCAGGACCATATGTTCTTCTCTCTAACATGTATGCTGAGCGCGGACAATGGAGTGATGTGATGAATGTTCGGAAGTTGATGACGAAAGAGGGAGTCAAAAAGCAGCCAGGTTGTAGTTGGATAGAGATACAAGGACATGCTCATGTTTTCAAGGTTAAAGATAAAAGACATCCTCAAAAGAAACAGATTCACTCGCTTCTTGATATTCTAAGAGCAGAGATGAGTCAGGAGCAAGATCATGCCGAAACAGGATCACTCTCGTCTGAGAAAAGAGATTATTAATCTAGTCTTATTTGGGACTATTCCATGTAAGTCCCTTTGCTGGATATTCTCTTTTGTTTTTGGTTGAAAACTTAGAGATATAGAAACAGGTAGTTTATTAGAAGCAATGGAAAAATCATTTTGCATACACAACACTTTTCTTTCTTATCTTCGGTTGCTGTAAATAACAAGTATTTGAACAAACTTGTAACTCGAAGATTTGCAGGAAAAGACTTATTGTTTCCATATCTATCAAACAAGAGTGGTTTTGAAACTCCTTTGTGAACATCTGCATCTCAGAATCACGTAGGAAATAAACCTGTAGAGTAAGATAAAACATAGCATAATCACAACGTTTCTCCATCTGTTTTCCTCTCCATACCTTTCTTCTCTTAGTAGATCCTCCTCAGTCATCAAGCATTTTCCGAGTCCATACTCCAAACACTTGCTTGACTTGGAGAACTCGTTTATCAGAAATCCTTCAAATGGGTACTTGAACAAAGAGATGTAGTGCATGAAAATCCAGTAAGCAGGGATCTCATGCTTCGATATGAAGTAGCCAGAGAACAGAAAGAAGGAACCCATTACACCAGAAATCACCGAGTTTCCAACGATGAAATTTGGAACCAGTGCACTAAAGCACACAACAACTGAGTTGGCTGTGTAGAGGATCAACCAAATTAGGAGCAAAAAGTGCAGAAATGCCATGAAATTAGGGTTCAATCCCACCAGCCAGTACACTGGTATTGAGAATAGAACAGCTAGGATGAGCAGAAATGGCAAGTAAACAAGTCCATTAGCGACGGCATATGAGGACACTCTGTAGCTTCCACTTGAGGTCTCCTTCATCAGAATCTCTCTTTCTTGCAGAAATATTGGGAGTGCCTCTATTGTTGAAGTTAGCAGGAAGGTCAGTATGAATGCAAAGAGACCGACTCTTTCGCGTGCACCTTTCAAATCGTCTTTAAGATTATGGAAAATCAGACCTAGAACAATTCCTGAACCTAACATCTGAACCGTCCTGCACGCAAACAGCTCCTTGGTCCTGAAAATGTTCTTGGAGAACCTATGAGTGAGTATAATAGTTTCTCCTAGTCTCGAATTTGCGAAATCCCTGGTGAATTCCGTCCCTATGTTCATCGTTCCTACATCTGCAACCCTTGATTGTTGAAACAGCTGTTGTAGTGTGAATTTGCCACTTCTGCTCTCCCCTTGACTATCCTCTAATCTCTTCTCTTGTAATGTTGTTTGTGATGTTAGGACGTGAGCTACTGTTCTGCTTTGCTGTAGCCGTTGGTGTTTTGTGATGGCTTCGATTGACTCTATGGCGAATTCAACGATGTTTACGTGGAAAGGAGGCTGCAAACCATTTGACCTTAAGTACACGCCAAGCTGATCCATCGAGCCCTGCTTCAAGGTAGAGCCATTGGCTAACAAAAGAACAGAATTGAACAGTTTGACTATACGAAAACCCGGTTGGTGGATACTCAGAATTATGGTCCGTCCCCGTGTTTCAGCCATGAGCTTGAGCATGTCTACGATCTGCAGAGCCGAAGTACTATCAAGACCAGAGGTTGGCTCATCAAGAATCAGAACTTTAGGATCGTGAATAACTTCAACTCCTATGGAGACACGGCGTCTCTCTCCACCCGATATCCCTCTAACGCTATCATCGCCAACACGAGCCATAGCAACAGCTTCGAGCCCAAGCTCACGCACCAATGACTTAACCCGTGATCTCAGTTCGTCTGTAGGGAGCTTTAAACGCAGCTTGGCACTAAACAAAAGGGTTTCCTCCACAGTAAGCAAAGGAAACAGAGTGTCCTTCTGAGTGACATAACCAGAGATTTTCTTGAAATTGGCTCTATCAATTGGTCTCTGGTTGACAAGAACTGATCCGGTTTGAGGGATGACTCTAGCAGCTAGAATTTCAAGCAAAGAAGACTTCCCTGCACCACTAGGACCAACAATGGCAAGAATCTCCCATGGTTTGGCCTTGCAAGTCACTCCTTTTAGTACATGCTTGACTTTGTTGCAGGTTCCATGCTCAAGCTTCCATGGCTCTTCTTCTGTCTTAACCGGCTGGTCAGCTTCCGGCACCGGTTTCCGTGTAAAGATTCCGAAAGGATTAGCATTAATCTTCCGTACAAAGATGTTGTAATCAATATCTAAAGCTTCGATCTCACACCCTTCCTTCTCCATTGATGAAGCTTTGTTCTCTCTCTTTCTCTCTCTCTGTCTGTCTTCTCTAGTGCTTGAGAAAAAGGACGAGTGATAGTACAATACCAATTATTTGTCTTATGTAGTTTTTCTTCTAAATATATTATTAAGTATTATTATTATATATAAATTTTTGGTAAGTATTGTATTCGTCATATGGTTCAAAAGACTAAGGAGACAGCTTGGTTTTCTGTAGCTTCCATTGGATTTATGTGAAGTTTAAGTCTTGGTTCACGGGCCATTTGTTTTCTTATATCATATATAGAGAGAGAAGAGAGAGAAGAGAGAGAAGTTGGTTCACATGCAATTGTTCTTCTCTCTTTGCTGTAACTTTCCCAAGAAATGAAGAGTCACGTGTTCCTTTATGCAAAAAAAAAAAAAAAAAAATTCCTTTGCTTTTCATTTTTATGCCAACTATTAATTTGTGATGTTTTATGAAAACATTTTTCTAACTGTTGAAAGAGTGCAATGGGTATTTTTATCACTTGTTGAATCTAATGTGGCAAATTTGGTGTTGTATTTTTTCAACGCCTCAATTTTCTTTGAATAGAGAATATTGCCATATGTCAGGTTTGTATTGGTCAAAAAATATTATTAGATAATATATGGATTAAGACATGTGTTGTGATCATTAGCCATTAAGATTTTTGATATTTTTTATTCAAATTATTTCAAAGCAATTGTTTCATAGTATATTATAAATTTTTTATATTTTTAATACAAAAATTCATCATTTTTCATACTCTAAAAATTGTTTTATTTGATTCGAACATATTTAGAAATTTGTTTGTCATCTCAGAGACAAGTCTCTTACAAAATAAACAAATAATTATTAAATCATAAATTTTAAAATGAAATGTCCAAAACTAATTAATACCACTAATTTCAACATAACTTTTCTTTTTAATGTTTATCTCATATGTATTTATGTTCATAACTATTAAGTTACATTAAAATTAAAGCTTTCCACATTCCTAATAAAAATAAATAAAAAACATTTCTAACCTTTTGGTATTCGTTTAAAATCTTTTAATATTTTTTATACCAACTTGATAGTTTTTCTTCTGGCTTATCCTCATCATGAACATTTTTTTCGAAGCTTGTTCTATGAAAGAATGTAAAGATGTAGCGTTCTCTTCATTCAAAGATTTTGCGGTTTTTATGGGTAAACTATGATATTATCATAGCTGCGTTTCATTGTGAAACATGAAGTATGTGGTGGTTCTTGCAAAATCATGGTAATTGTGCATGTCATAAATATGAAAACATTAAAAATCAGAGGTAATTATATGTTTCCAAGCAATTCAACCCAAAAAGGGTTTTTATCTATGTTCTTTTTACTAATATTATGTTTATGATTTCTAGAATAGTAGAATAATTTCCTACTTACCCTACTTCCAATCCTAAAAAAAGTTATTTGTTTGATAAAGATTTTGTTTTTTAAAAACTAAGATCAAACAATCAAACAAATTACCATATTGTTATATTAACTACGTATATATATATCAACACAAACATATTTTTTAAAACATTATGTGAAACAAAACCCGTGCGTATGCATCCCACAAATATTTGAATCCCACAAATATCTAGAGAAATATCATAAAGCAAAGAAAGCAAAAAAGATTGAAACAAAATATACTAATAAATAAATATAAATAGACATGTATTAAATGTATATTTTAAATATGCTTTAATGTTAAAATTGTAGTTTTGCTGATGTGGAAAGCTTAGGTGGAGAAAAAATTCTCCCATTACATAATAGATTTCTCAAATAGTAGCTTGAATATTTAAAAGCATCTGGACTCTTTAAGCCAGCAAGACTTTGCAAGGATATTACCTTTGTTTCCATTCCTGGCTCAGATTAGCATAGTGAATCCAACCAGAACAATCTCTTTTTAGTAACAGTGATTTCTCAGGTCTAAAAAACTCTTCTTTATCGTTATTCCAAACAGATTAGTTAGTTTTCGACACATCTGCCTACAAGTATTTTAGGTCGTCTTCTACAGTAATCGTGGTTTGTGATGCGTGTAGTGGATGCAAACAGAGTAAAGAAAGGAAGAGACTGAAACAGGACAGCTTTGGCACCAAATTCATGCTTGCTTTGGGCTGCGGAGGTTCCTAGGAACAGTGTAGAACAAAACTAGAACAAGCCTTGAAAAAAGTAACCGGATAGATAGGAAGATACGGGATAGATCACAACTCGTAAAACCAAAGCACATGAGTTGATAAAAAAAAACCCCATTCGAGCTAACACCACAACTGGATAAAGTTGCCACCGCCAGATGATAAAGACGCTCTAAATCCACCACCAGTGGCTCTCCCAAAACCAAAGGATAAAGGAAAATGATCAAAAGATCACCAAGAGGTCACAAAGATATTCTAAATTCTGAATTCTCAAAAGTTTGATTTTATTCATGATAATAAGCCTCATTATATAGAGGATACAACTTAGAGACATGCATAAGAAGATACATTGAATTTAAACTACTTGGAAATCTCAAAAGATATTTATTCATGCATAAAAACTAGAAAATTTGACTAAAATAAATGCAGAATTGACTATCGACGACAATGACTCTTCATATGCTTCAGTTGGCCTCTCAAATTTATTCTCTTGTCTCTGGAACTCTCCTTGGACAATAGGCCACGAAAATAAGGCCTAAAGAACTTGAAGCCCACGTTTTTGGATGTTTTGATGAGCTAGAAAGAAGATAATAACAGCCAGTCCATTCTGCTTCACTTCTCCTTGTGTTGCTGCCTTGTCTTGGTCACTTGCTTCTGCATCAGTTTGCTATTCAAAATCATGAATAACAATTAAAGATAGAAGCAAGGAAGAACTGTTGTCACCATCCATTTTTAAAGCTACCAATTACTAGGCTTTTGTGTGATCTGCTTTGTTAAAATGGCTCAACTGAAACGAATCATTTATCTTTTCAGATCGATTGGAAAAAAACTACGAATTTATTTGTCAGATCTAAAATGAATATGAGAGAACTAAACAAAGCAAATAAATTTATTAAAGAAATGTATCAAAGAAATCGACCAGGCCGATATCAGAGCTACAAAAGCCTCTGTCATCAACCAGGATCCATATGAAAAAAATCCACTTTTTCTCTAGTTCAGAAACTGTTTTTGATAAACATATTTGGCCAGCTGATAATATCTTGTGTCCTTTTGATTTAATCCATGCTGAATGTATTGCCCTTAAAGCTTGGAAATTACAACAGGAGAAAATTGTCCAAAAATCCAGGAAACATGGTAATGCTTTTTTACGGTTACAAACTGTGCTGCCACACCACATATTTCTCTTTTATCATCTAATATATAGGGTTGATCAGACAGCCACTACTATTAGAGCATCTCCAACTCATTACTCCGTTTTTTACTATATAAATAGAGTAACTCCATAATGGAGTTGGTTTATCTCCAACCCTACTCCATTTTTTACTCTATAAAGAATATTCTAAGTATACTCTCTTTCCACTAAATTTATAAATTATTTGCAGATATACCCTTTTATATGTCAAATTTATGATTGAATCCAATAACTTTATTTTAGTGATTTATTTTCAATAAAATGAAAATTGTTATTTTAATTTAAGAAATTTTTATAAATAAATATATTACATTACACAACATAATAAAAACAATAAGAACTTAAGAAGATAATATAATTTAATTTAATTATCATCATTAGTATATTTTTCCCACAGATGATCAATTAATGCAGTTCGAAGTGAAAAATGAGCTTCTTTATCTTTGATTTCTCTAAATCGAGCAAGAAACTCTTTGAATCGAATATTATCATCCTCTGCCAATTGAACCTCTGGAGGTGAAGCTTCTATTCCAACTTCAATCGGAGCATCAAGATCACGTTCATCTTCGATTATTATGTATTTTGTATTTTTGTTATGTACTTGTTATGATCACAGGGACCCTTTTGTATTTTTATTATATATTTGTTATGATTGTTTTTAAAAAATTTCATTTTCTAAAATAATTAGTTTTATCATTTATAATAAAATTTATATATAAAAAATATCAAAGTTTTTGTTGAAGACTTATCTGATAACATATAATAGGTGAGAGATCAAATTATAAATAAAAAAGAGTCCACTTAAAAATGGAGGTGATGAATAGTGTCACTCCATATATAGAGGCGTACTGTTCATATCTCCATTTTGGAGATGGAAATGGAGTAGGGTTGGAGAGGATTTTACTCCAAAATGGAGTTTGGAGGTGGAAATGGAGTAGGGTTGGAGATGGTCTTATCGGTATAGTGTTTTCTATTGGGCATGGTAAAACGGTTAAAAAGCAAAACATTTCTAAAACAATGATTAATACTAGCAGTGGAAGTGCATATGCAAACACTAGGCCTTCCTTATCCAAACGAGTTCCTATCCATATAATATTGCCAAAAAAGTTAAGTTGTCTCATAGAACCGGTCCTGGATATAAACATATGAAGCATGTGATTTGGGACTGGTAAAAGTTAAATATTTTATAGGGGCCAAATATTGAAAATACGAGTTCGTCGAGAGGGTTTAGAACATGAAAATATGTTAACTGGTGTATAGTTTGAACATTTGAGGTAACTTTCTTTGTGTGTTTTTTTTTCTCCATTTATTGATTTTTTTTTTTGATTAAAAATTGTGTTTTTGTGATATCTTCTATTAATATCATTTAACATTAGTGTTTATTTTTAAACTTCTATTAAAGTTTTAAAGGCCAATTTTTTTTGCCTTTAACCAAACAAATCTCAGAACTAACTCTAGGTCTAGATACAATACTTGGAAGTCAAATTCTAGAGCACCTGTGCTCATGATCTTTCTTTACTAAAAAAATAATACTTATTATTAGTTAAAATCACACTTGAAAAATGACCGCAGCATTTTTATGGTCTCACAAGGTTTTTTTTTGTTTCAATTTTAGCATACATTTCAGTTATTAAAGAATAATATAACACATAATTAAATAATTAAAAACTAATAATGTGATATTTATTTAATTTCAAGAATTAATTAACGGTTAGCTAAACACCTAAAAAAATAGTGTGACTGATCTAATAAAAGAAAGAAGACCAAAAATAGAAATGAAATGATGTTGTTTGACTCGTTGAGCAGAGAGGATGATGGAATACCACCAACTTTGTATCCATTTCGTCTCCCACATATGGCTATGTATGTAATCCTGCAAATTCAACAGAACAAACCTTTCAATCAATTCAAGTTTTGATAGGAGTTGCTGCAATATGGCTGAGGAAAACAGTACGGACACTTCAATAATATGTTACGCGCCAAGCATGATCACCACCAATGGTGTTTGGCAAGGCGATAATCCTCTTGATTTCTCCCTCCCCCTCTTTGTTCTTCAGCTTACCTTGGTCGTTGTCATCACTCGATTTTTCGTCTTTATCCTCAAGCCCTTTCGCCAACCTCGTGTTATCTCAGAGATCCTTGTGAGTAAGCATAAATTCTGTTTTTTTTCCCCCCATGTTGGAATATTGTCATCTAAAATGGAAATGATTTAATACTAATATATAAAGGATATGCATCCTTCACTTATTTTCAATTGACTTTTGAGCAGAAAGCTCGTGATTTCTTCACAACGTTACCATAAAAGATTTCATTGATCTTAATTTACAGGGAGGAATTGTGTTGGGGCCATCGTTACTTGGGCGCTACACAAAATTCGCAAACACCATCTTTCCTCAGAGAAGTGTGATGGTACTTGAAACAATGGCTAATGTTGGTTTACTTTACTTCCTTTTCCTGGTGGGTGTAGAGATGGATATTATGGTGGTACGGAAAACAGGGAAGCGAGCTCTAACCATTGCTATTGGTGGTATGGTCTTACCATTCCTCATTGGCGCTGCCTTCTCTTTCTCTATGCACAGATCAGACGACCATTTGGGGCAAGGCACATACATACTCTTCCTTGGTGTAGCTCTCTCTGTAACAGCATTCCCGGTCCTTGCAAGGATTCTTGCTGAGCTCAAGCTCATCAATACCGAGATTGGTCGGATATCCATGTCTGCAGCACTAGTCAATGATATGTTTGCTTGGATTCTCCTGGCCTTAGCTATTGCATTGGCCGAGAGTGATAAAACTTCTTTTGCCTCCCTTTGGGTCATGATCTCTAGTGCAGCTTTCATTGCTATTTGCGTCTTTGTTGTGAGACCAGGAATCTCTTGGATTATACGGAAAACCCCTGAAGGAGAGAACTTTAGTGAGTTCTATATATGTCTCATCTTGACAGGAGTCATGATCTCGGGATTCATTACCGATGCAATTGGAACACATTCAGTGTTTGGTGCTTTTGTGTTTGGTCTTGTGATTCCTAATGGACCACTTGGTCTTACACTCATCGAGAAACTTGAAGATTTTGTCTCTGGACTTCTCCTACCTCTTTTCTTTGCCATAAGTGGTCTTAAAACTAATATAGCTTCCATCCAAGGGCCTGCCACTTGGTTAACTCTGATGCTCGTTATCTTCCTCGCGTGTGCTGGAAAAGTCATCGGTACTGTTATTGTTGCATTTTTCCATGGAATGCCAGTTCGTGAAGGGATAACTCTTGGCCTGCTATTAAACACCAAAGGTCTTGTTGAAATGATAGTCCTTAATGTTGGAAAAGACCAAAAAGTTTTAGATGATGAGACATTTGCTACCATGGTGCTTGTAGCCTTGGTTATGACTGGAGTGATAACTCCTATTGTAACTATCCTTTACAGACCAGTAAAACGTTCTGTTTCGTACAAGAGACGGACAATCCAACAGACGAAGCCAGACAGCGAGCTTCGAGTACTGGTCTGTGTCCACACACCGCGTAACGTCCCTACTATAATCAACCTTCTTGAAGCTTCCCATCCCACAAAGAGATCTCCTATATGTATTTACATTCTCCATCTTGTTGAGCTCACGGGTCGAGCATCCGCAATGCTGATTGTCCACAACACACGAAAATCAGGACGACCAGCGCTTAATAGAACTCAAGCTCAGTCAGATCACATCATTAATGCCTTTGAGAATTATGAACAACATGCAGCCTTTGTTGCTGTTCAACCCTTAACAGCTATTTCGCCTTATTCGACAATGCATGAAGATGTTTGTAGCTTAGCAGAGGACAAACGTGTCTCTTTTATAATCATACCATTTCACAAACAACAAACAGTTGATGGAGGAATGGAAGCCACCAATCCAGCATACCGCTTAGTTAACCAAAACCTACTCGAAAACTCGCCTTGCTCTGTTGGAATACTGGTAGATAGAGGACTCAATGGTGCAACAAGATTGACCTCAAACACCATCTCTCTCCAAGTTGCTGTTCTGTATTTCGGTGGTCCAGACGATAGAGAAGCCTTAGCATATGCTTGGAGAATGGCTGAACATCCGGGCATCACCCTAACTGTGTTGCGCTTTATTCCTGATGAAGATGTAACCAGTGACACTAACCTAAAGGTGGATCTGAAAAAGCAAAGACAGCTTGATGATGAATACATCAATGCCTTCCGGGTGGAAAATGCGGATCAAGAGTCAATTGTGTATATAGAAAAAATTGTAAGCAACGGGGAAGAGACAGTTGCAGCAGTGAGATCAATGGATAGTTCTCACGATCTGTTTATAGTTGGAAGAGGAGAAGGAATGTCATCTCCTCTCACTGCAGGTTTAACTGATTGGAGTGAGTGTCCTGAGCTTGGTGCCATTGGAGATTTGCTTGCATCATCAGACTTTGCAGCCACTGTCTCGGTCCTTGTGGTTCAGCAGTATCTTGGATCATGGGCACAAGAAGATGAAATGGATTTGCCTGAGAGTCCGGTTAACTCACATGAACAACCAAAGGCCACATATGCTTTAGAAAATCCACGTTAGCCAACATTGAGATTTTGTGTACTCTTATTCATTTTCTACCTTTTTTGTTTTTTATTTTTATTTATATATACTTGTTATCTTACAAATGTATTTTAGCAATCTATAAGTTAGCTGACACTCTCAATTCGGGTGTTCACCTAAAGTGGTTAATTTTAAAGGAATTTGTTTTAGATATTTCCACGTAACGGTATGTCCAATCGACACTTACAACTGTAACATTTTTGTTAGAGTTTAGATGAGTTTTTTATGATTTCCTATAAAATGTTCTATACAACTAGATAAGGACTTGCGTATATACTCGTGTAAAATTTTATAATTCATAATCCAGAAAAAGGGATATTTGACAAGATACACTAACTAAGATTTTACATTAGAAAAGTACACTGCTTTTATTTTTATTGCGTAGGTTTCTCATTTCTGTTTAAACTATAGGTTCTCTATATGTAAAAAGACTGTTTGAACTATTTAAATTGAAAATTGTATATTTGAATAAAAAAAAATTCAAAAACACTAAATTGTTCATATTATTTCATGTGAGATAAAAATATATTAATTACTTATTATTTAATTTAGATACATTTTAAAATATTTGAAGATTATCTACAACAAAATAAATTTATTATTTTTACATAACCAGAGTCAACCATGATTTTGAATAGTTCTTAATTTTTAATCTAGTTTTTAATCAAAGATTTTCTACCAAGTTTAATCTTGGAGACTAAATCAGCATTTGTGTAAGGGCGATTAATCTCAGATAATATTTTGATCGCACAAGAAATGTTCCATGGACTACAGATCAATAAGTCATTTAAAAAAATTCATGGCGATAACAACATACATGAGTAAAGCGTACGTGGAATAGCTGGTTATTGAACATCTCTTGCGAAGTTTGATTTCGTGGAGAAACGGATCACATGGATGATGTGGTGCATCAGATCAGTACAATACAAGGAATGATCAACCAATAGGATAAATAACTTTACAATGAGGATTTTATCAGGGTGATCCCTTCTCACCTTATTTATTTATTGTATAGAGGTACTAGTTGCATGTATACGTAAGGCAAAAAGGGAGAAATTTCTTACTAAGTTTAAAGATCGCAAGAGCAGGTCCATCAAGCTCTCATTTTTTGGCTGATGATAATCTTTTCTTTTGTAAGGCAAACAAAGACGAATGTCAAACCATTTTACAAAAAGTTAAACAGTATGAATAATCAGTATCAAGGCAGAAAATTAATTTTTCAAAATCTTCTCTCTAGTTTAAACATACGGTGAATGAAGAAGTACAAATTGAGGAAAAACAAATGTTAGGCATCTCAAACATTGAGGAGAAAAGAGTAAAATTTTTAACTTTATTTTCGAACAACATCAGGATCGAATTAATAAATAGTCATTGAGGCTACTATCCAATTGATGGAAAGAGGTTTCAGTTAAAACAGTGCCCACGACAATGCCAACTTATATTATGTCGTATTTTCGGTTACCCAAATTAATAACTGGAAAACTAACAAGTGCAGCCGCACAGTTTTGGTGAAGTTGAAATGGTCAACAAAAAGGTATGCATAGGATGTCATGGAAAGAATTATGTCACAGTAAAACAGATGGAAGATTGGCTTTAGAAATATAAATGATTTAATACTGCATTACTGGTGAAACATCTATGGCGGTTAATTAAAAAAAAAACTAGAATCTTTGTTTACATGGGTTTTAAGGGTGGCTACTATCAAAATACAGACCTTTTAGATCCAATCAAATCATATTTCTCCATGAAATAGATGGAGTAACATGATATCGGTTAGACCTCTGGTTAAAAAAGGGCTAATTAAAAGAGTTGATTTATTTTGTTAATTATATCTCGATATAGAACGATTCATAGATACCAAAAGTTCATCAGGGGTCAGCAACATGTAAAGGGTGCAACTACTATCCGGATCTCGTGGTTAACCCCCAGATTGGTCCAGCAACAAAGACATGGAACTTGGCACTACTAAATGCAATCATTGATCCAGCAGAGTGTCAAATTCATTTTCAGTATGCCTATTAGCTTTACTTATAGATTAGATACTATTTAATGGTATTTTAAAAAATCGAGATGATGATACACAATTAAGTCGAGAGATCACATCAGATAAGAAATCTCAAATATAGGTCATAACCAGATTTATGGACCAGATGTGAAGCAATTATAGGCATATGCTTGGAAGCTCAAATGTTCAATGAAAGTCAGACATTTTATTTGGCTAGCCATTTTAGAGTATCTTTCATTTTTATAAAATTTGAGGCTAAAGGAATAAATTGTGATGCATATTGTGCTTGGTGTGGAGCGAAAGTGGAAGACATTAATCATGTTATGATTGAATGTTTTCTAGCTCTACAAATGTGGACACTTTCTCAGGTTCCAACGTATCGTAGTATTTTTTCTATGTCATTCAGTATTCTCTAATCTTGGTCATCTTTTTTGGCAACGCCCAGAAGAGAATCAAAATGCAAATTTTTCTTATTTGATATATTTGAAACGCAAAAAAATGATAAGTTTTTCTCAATTTCCGATAGAGGAAACTGAGGCAATGACTTAGGAATCAGCACAAAACAGTGAAGAAATTAAGGTAACCCAAAGTTATGCTCCTTCATAAATTATTTCGTGTTATGAAGGGATTTATTGTTATACTAGGGGTTGATCTGCGCTTGCGTTTTGTATTGTATTTGTTGATATATTTAAGAGAAAACTCTACAATATCAATTTTTCATTATATTTTATATTTTAATTTTTATATATATATATAGTATTTAATAATTTTATATACAACATTTAGTAAATAATCAAAAGATATATCAATTAAAACTTCAAATCAAATTTAGTTTGTAGATATCTTTATATTTATATGGGTTTATGATTTTCGAATATATACAATTCTTGATTGTTGCATTCAGGAAAAAAAATATATGTAATAGGCAATTAATTATTGAAAATAACTCGATTCGCTAACATATTTCTAAAATATATTCATAATCTCTAGTTTTCTCTACACCCATTTTCCTCTCCATTTCCCTCTCTCTCTCCTTCTCCTTCTCCATCTCCATCTCCTTCTCCCTCTCCCTCTCACTCTTCTTTTCCCTCTCATGTTCTCTCTCTCATCAGTGCAACATGTTGAACCACACACAACATATTGGACCAGTTGAAATTTCTATTTTTATCAGGTTTTTCTTTTTTATTGTCACTCTCAATGTCACCTCTCTAACCTGAGCTCTGTATAATTTTTTAAGGGGAACTTCACCCATTTTATATTTCAAAGATTAGGTTGAACATGTTAACATTTTGTGATACCACAATTTATTTCACAAAATATGCATTCTCACATCTCTATATTATTATTTAAATAATCATTTTAAAAATAATTTTTATTTTGTAAATTATTACATGATATGCTATTACAAATAACAAAAATAATTAAAATAGAAAAGGATAGAATTGTCACTCGAGCTTTTTGAAATTCGTGTGAATATTCCTTACCCGTTAATATGCATTTAAATTTTCTTTAAATTTATGTCTTTTGTTATATTCAAGTGTTTTATAACAGTTTTAAAATAAATTTAGATATTTTTAGATATTAAAAAAATTAGATTCGAGAATTTTTTTTTGGGATTTAGCAAAACTGGATCCAAATTTGGCTATCTTAAAATTTATGGTTTACTATACATATCTATCTAATCATATAAATAAAGTAAATTATTTTAAATAATAATAAATAAATGCATTAATATATAAACTATTATTTATAAAGAGTGTCTATTCATATTCTTGTTAAATTAATGGATGATAGTTACAATGAGAATTAAAGTATAATAACACAAAATATAATAAATTATAAATTAATAAATGAATTGATGATGTGTCAAAATTTTAGAGTTTAAGAAAATGATGTGGCATCATGAAAAGAGAGAACATTTTACTTTTTATATATAAACTAGGTGAGTACCCACGCAACGCGCGAATCTTTTTAAAATAATTGTTAAATTAAATAGTCTGCATATTTGTTTCATATTTACATATTGTTACATATTTGTTTCTACTTTTGTATTTAATTTTTCTTGTTAAAGTAGGCCATCCTATATTTAAACTAAGGCTATCAGGGATTATTTTGGGGTTTTGAAATTTTCTTACTTATTTATTAGTGAACTAGTATTATCACCCATGCTACGCATGGATTAATTTTTTTTATTTAAATTACTTTTTACAAATAAAACATTACACTAGTGATAGAACACTCATTCCATCAAAGAAAACCGAAAAAAAATGAGAGAGAAGCAGTTGAACGATTACCTGTAATCAGACAACAAATCTCTGGTACAATAACAATAAATGGTTGACATTTTCAACCTGAATCACACAGAAAAAAAATCAGAATATTAATATGAGGAGGAAAAAAATGAAATGAATCTGAATAGAAAGTAAGCATAAATCTGTCTCAAATTAGTTCTTGTACTATAACAAATATTTAAAATAAAAAAATCAAAATCAAAGATCAGAATCAAAAGAAAAAAAAAGATGAATATAAATGTATCAATGAAGAAGAAGAGAGAGACCTGAAATTGAAAACTTGATATAATAGAAGAAGTTGAATCGAAGAAAAGATATCGTGAAGTAGTGGGAGAAAATTTAGGGATTTTTAGGATTATAGATTTTTAATTTTTATTTAAAAAAATTTATATCTATTTTTTGTTATTTTTTAAGTGATTTTTTTTTGCTGCTTGCCACATGTCAACTTATAATTGCACAAATGACTTGTGCTTTAGTAATATAAGGATGTGTTTAAATTTGAAATAATTGATGAAAGTGTTATCTTATTGAATTTAATTTGGGAACTTCATCACTAATTGAAATGTATTAATATTTTAAATATATACAAAGAAATTATACATATAACTGTACAGAATTATAGGTAAACTGAACACTGAAATAATAATTGTAATAACTATTATTCATATTTTATGCTGCATTGG